GAATTGTGCATCTGAAGGTTAGATTGAATAATTCTGTGAAATGTGATTAGGTGTTTCAGCATAATCTGTAGGTTGGCACATGCAGAAAAAAGCAGAAAATCACGGGCATTGTAAAATTCTTAACATTTGTAAGGGGCACCCCAAGCAAGTGAACCAGTACCAAGGACAAATGCGTTGACAGGCCATTGCATTCTGAATTTGATGGGTCAACCAAAACATTGCACATTATGTTTATTGTGCATTCCACATAAGATGTTTTAAATCACACTTGAATTATGAAGATGTGTGGAGTAGATGCCTAGAGCACAAAGCAAGGAAATATTAAGTGCACTTAAGATTAAAGAAAAGTTAGACAAACTGAAAGTCTGGGCAGACACTTGTCAGATGGCATTTAATATAGACAACCACGGGGTTTTGCATTCAGGCACTAAAAGTATGCATGCTAATATAAACTATAAAAAATGGGAAACACTGAGCTAGAATACGCAATATATGTAAAAGACTTGTTTATGTCGACAGTTAGCTTATATCTTCCAGGCAATGTGGGGAAGGAATAAAAAGGCAAAGAAATGTTAGTCTACTGTATATAGGGAAGAGTGTAGAATTCAAATCAAAGCATGCCATGTTAAAATTGTATAACGCACTAGATAGGCCTCATTTAGAATATTGTATACAATTTTTGTAACTACGTTACAAAAAAGATATTGCAGCTTTGGAAGTTGAGAGAAGAGCAACAATATACATTCTGGGACTTCAAAGAACGTCTTACACTGACAGACTTAACAAACTGAACCTTTATAAGTCTTGAACAGAGAACCTGATACGAATATTCAAAATTGTCAAATGCACTGAAAAAAACAACCCAGACATGGTGGACCTCTGCAGAGTAAACAAGGAACATGAACAAGATGACACAAGCGGAAATTATGTGGAAGTGCACTGAAAAGTGAAAACAAGAGCCAATTCTTTAACCAAAGGAATGGTGAAGTATGGAACAAGCTATCCAGGCAAGCAGCTAATAATTTGGTTTTATTCCAGAAACAGTTGGATGGGATCTTTGAATTAATTAGCTACTAACTACCAAATGGGCTAGATGGGCCAAATGGCCTTCTCACCCGTGTAACCATTTATATGATGTTATGACTGAACTCAGGGTGCAAACAGGAGTACATAATCAAATTGAAAGATGCTATGTTTATTTCAGGGCATCAGAATGCCTGTATATATTCATTTCAGAATTTCCTAATAACTACACCAAAAAACTAATTTGTATATAAAATTGTGATCTAAAATATTATAGTACCATCACCTAAACAATTTAATTTACCAATATTCCAAATTCTATTTGTGTAATTACAATAACAAATAAACAGAACTAAAGAACTGAAGAACTAAAAGAAGTAGAACGGGTATTGATTATAAAAATAATAGTGCACGACATTATTCTTTCAAGATTCAAGCCAAACAATGCGCTTTCAAGATTCAGAACTGAGTTCAACACCGTGGACCACCTGAAATTACTATATTAGGACAAGTAATCTGAACATGCAACGAGTATTAGGAGCTCTTATGATTACAAGAGAGAATAGTTACGTTTACAAACACTTTTTGACACTTCACAGAATGAAGCACAATTTACAAAAAACACAACACATTGTAACACATGTAAGTCTCAGCCCTGAATACAAAAATGATATGGAAGCAAAATGCTAATGCGATGAACACATCACAAAATAAGACAGTCTAAATAAGATAGGAACATATCATCACAAGAGACCAAACACTAGAAGAATACATCCAGTTAGGTAAGAAGAATAACCTGATTAGGACAGGTACTGATAATGGTTAACGTAAGAATTTGGGAGAGACGTTCATCTAGCTGTAGACTGATGACTAAATTGATAATATACAGTATTATTTGTCATTTGTGATTTATTTTACATTTTATGAAGATCAGCAGTAAACTGAGTAAGTATGTTCTAATGAAATTCATGTCCAACTCTCTCTAGTGTCATTGTAGCCAATGTTAGTCTTGCCATGCAGCCTATTTTTAAGATTAACTAATGGCAGTATTTAAGCTTGTTCCAATTGATCGGTAATACAAAACTGCATGATAGGCAATTGTGATTTTCAACACATTTCATACTGGATGAAATCTGACTAATTTCACTTCCAATATTAAAAGATCATTGTCAGTGAATGGTTGTTTCTACGTAAACACTACAGGCTAATTGCAAAGGATATATTTTAGCAACAAAAATATTTCCCAAATTAGGAAAGATTTGTAATGTTTTTAAACATTAACATGTGAAGATCTATTTAAATTTCATATGGCTTTTTTCATGTACAGTATGTAAAACCAAACAACAATGTGCCAAAACCTCACAATGCAATATGGTTTGATAAGCACAGCAGTCAAGTACCAATTGTGTATTTATAATGAAAGCAATTAAAATACCTGTAGCTTTTTTTTCTAGGTACATTGTGCCAATTAAATCTAAGTACAATGGGCATTACCTAACCGTTCTCCCTATAAGCAACATTTGCCTGGAATGTATTGCAGCTCAGGGTTCTGCTGTCATCTAATGCATATTGTGTTACAGGCCAAATAACATATAAACACTGTAATTCATTCCAAATTTCTAAATAATCACTTTTTTTCTACACACAAAAATGTATTTTGTTTATAAAAAATAGCTAAGGATTATTATTATTTTAAATTGTAACACTTTTTGTAAATGTAGTATTAATGGCTATTAATAAAATACAAGTGGTAGAAAATTCTAAAGCCTGTACAAAAAGAAAATTCAAGGTGCCTTTCCATGCAATAAATGTGTGATGTTTTCAATAAATAAAATGTTAATGTATTTTTGTCATATAGCTTCATAAGGACTCTTTAAGACTACTGTCTTTTTTTTCAAATACACATTAGTTTTATAAATGCAAGTCTGTAACAATCTCGGTCAATTAATAAGCAGATTATGTAAAACGTGTACATGAACAAAATGTGTTGTTATAAACAAATGGCACATCTTATGTTGCTCTTCTCAAATCGACTTTGACGCCATTAGTGGAAATACTAAAAATAATTATAATAATAAAGAACAGCTGCTATGTGTCAAAACATTTTCAACACTGTATTCTAGAATACTTCACTTAACTAAACTGAATTGGTAAATGTTGTTATTCACAAGCATAATAACTGCCATCATTGCTTTCCAAGAAATACTGAAATACTATGTTCAAACATAATTACAATTGTTTTAATTCACAATCACATTGAAGAGGGGATACAAAATTTAGATAATAAAAACATTTTTTCAGTGAACCAATTATTTTTTCAGTACCTACTACAATATTGCAGCTTCACTAAAATACATAGTAGTTTTATTCATGTAATATGGTTGATACATGACTAAATAGATACATGGAAAGTTTGTCAAACATAATTTAAATCTGAGCCACCAGGCACAGTCAAATGCAAAAAATACTAATTTTGGAAATACATGTTTCCAACGGTTTGAATAATAGTTTAATATCTTACCCTGTTAAAACTAACAGGTTAGCAATGGAAAACATCTTATTGTTAAACTTCTATGGAAGAGTGCTGTCCACAAATCAAAGATGCTGACAGACTCTTATTACTTTTAGTTTTACTTGATATTATTTTATCCAAAATTACATATATTTGTGCAAATTTATACTGAACAGTACTATACTACATCAATTTGAGTGAAACATCATTAAATACAAAAGTATTTAACAAGTAATTTTTAGTCCTGTGATTACAATCTTCCCAAAAAAACAAGTGTCGTTTCCGTAAAGCTTGTGTTTATGACACTTTGAATTTGAAAGCGCTATATAAGTGTAAGCAATTATTATGATAATTATTATATTCTCTCCAGTTAACATTTTCTATCTCACACTTGAAGAAGGCTCTACAGCTGAAATGTGGAATTAACCTTGACGTATTCCTTTACTAACAACTATTAATTGCTAATTCAAAGTGACACTGCTCCCCACTCAAATTTAATATTAATATAAGAAAAAAGTCAACAAATAATGTGAAAAACTGAAGTCATGATTGCATAAGTATCAAACTATTTGATGTGTCAAACCTTAATTAATTCAGGTGAAAAAATAACTTAATAAGCCGCACAAAATGTTGAGTGTCCTCTTTCTGTATGCCACCCAGACACTATTTAGCTACCTCCAAACTGAGTATCTAAGCAAGAAAGAAAGTGGTAAGGGTTGCCAATGTGATGCCAATGACAATTGCACAATGCCAGCATGCAAAGATGGATACTTTGAACATTAAGGTTCTGAATAAAATATTATGGCATATATGCATTATTTTATAATTTCACAAAACAGGACACAATAGGAAGGGTCTGAATACGTTTGCAATTAACTTTAAGTTTGTTTATAACAATGGAAAATTGTAAAATGTATTACCATAATGTACATACCTATTAAACACTCTATTAGGAACTGTACTACAATCCCTAGTTTTCTGGTATACATTATACTCAAAGTGCTGTTTGTTTCTATGCTACCATTTGCCTGCCTCAGCTATAAGATACTGAGATTTTCAAATGGATAGTTTAAAAGAAGGTAAGAAATAATTTGTCTTAAAAATTTCAATATATAGATATGGGTTTTTCATAATAACATCCCAAAGTAGTATGAAAAATTCTTAAAATGTGAGATTCTCTCTTCCTTCAAATAATCATACTAATATATATTGTTACAGTATATATTTCAAACAAATGTATGTAAATGTGACATACTGTTGATATAAATATATCTGAATGTTAATTCATACCTTCTTTACCAATAACTGTTACCAGTAACAATAACAGAGGTTTTGAAACAAAGCATTCTTACCCTGAATCCAATTTGATGTGCAGGGATCTCTTCATACTGAAGCAATGTCCTGCAAAGTGTCTGGACAAATTTGACTGCCTTTAAAAAATGCACAGATTACTCAAGTAACCTACCTTAAAGAAAGTCATTGTTGCTCCATCTTCCACTACTCCATATTCAATTTTTGTCTGCTTTGCCAAGTCATCTGCTGAATCAATTGGTGACTCCATGCGCTCCACTGTTAGAAAGGCTGCTAGGTTAGCAGTATATGATGAAATGATGATCAGTGTGAAAAACCACCAGATACCTCCAACAATCCTAGTGGAAAGGGCTTTGGGCATGAGCTCAGAACCTAGTAGAAAGGAGGAGATTTTGTCAACCAAATAGTTTCATTATCTTGTAAACACGAAACTGGTATTAAAATTACCTTACTCATAAACTGTTGAAAGAGTTGAAATGGACCAGTGAAGGAAATAATCTTGTCAAAGCTGAATAAGACCAGACTAGATATGGCGATTAGAAACAGACTGAAATCTGTATGATACCATTAACATTGAAAACTTGGAACTCACATTTAGTATACCATAATAGACTTAAATTACCCATGGAAGAACAGCTTGACGCAGTCAGGTCTAGTACATAGACAAGCCACTATGCTTTTTACTCACCAAAATATAATTTTAGTCATAGACAAGGAATGGTTGTCATTTTAAGAACAGATCCAAGATGCAATATGAAGGCATGCCTTTATCATAAATTGTTTTCATTACTTTGTTATATATTTAAGTCCTTGAAACCCACAAATCAGTTAAAAACAATTAGAGGTATTTAGACCAACACACCTTCTCTGGGTAATTAAGACATGATTTTTCAGGAAACTGTCTCTTACCTGCATGTAATGAAAATGTGTAAATGTCTGTATAAAGGATATCTTATGAAATTTAGTTTTCTTCTTTTTTTTACTTGAATACACACATTGTTTACAGACCACTATGACAGAATCTGCTGCAAATCCCAGATGCAGCACACCATATTCATTCATATTCATACCAAATATAGAGAAAGAAAAATCAGAAAAGAAACCATTTCAGCAGTAGTAAAATGTGAGTATCAAGCACAATTCAACTTTATAGTAGTGACACTATTAAGCTTTATAATTGTCAATTTTTAAAATCTGAGCTGATAGTCCTCTTTAACAGAGAAAGTAAAAGTGTCAGGGAAACAAGTCTGACTTCTGATGCAATTAATTAAATGAGACAGAACGTAGAAGCATTACCTTGAAATGGAGATTGAAAATGGTACATTATAAACACCCATAAGCAGCCCAATGATTCATTAAATTGGTCATTTCTATGCAAGGCAGAAGGCGTGGCTGCCCTTTGCACTACGACAGTGCCATACAGAAGCATTCTGAATACACAGCTTTGAATTTCCACAATGTCATTCCCACTGCAACAGCAGGTTTGAGTCGTGCTGCAAAGTGAATCTATGCAATTTGTATTAATTAGAGAGCCATTTCTGTCGTCATGTACAATGCCTGGCGGTCACATGTCTGGTGCCCTGCTTCTATTAATCTGCATTAAAATTTTAAATAAGAAAGAATTTAATTAATTGCCTAGTAGCTAATCTTTGGATTATCATTTTTTATTGTCACTTTATGTTTTCATTGCATACAGCTCTTTGATTGTGTGTTTTGTATTTGAGCCATTAGAAACCTTAGAACCCACACCTTTTCTTTTTTGGGGGGGCAACCAAAAGTTCATCTCATATTTGCACATTGAATATTTGAATACTGAATCTGAATATTGAATCTGAATATTTGCACGTTGGTCATACCACAGTCAAATGATTAATCACATCTTTATTTCATGATACAATTCAAATATTCAGGATAAATGATATACTGTAGTTTCACAACTTAGTGAACACATGGTAGACAGTGTAACTGTTCTGTACTCAGTGCTGGCTGGAGTTGCCTGCTCATGATGCACTCAAACTGAATTCTCCAGTAAACAATTAAAGCAGATTGAAAGAAAACAGACTTTTTTTGTCATCTCTGCTACAGAAGCTTTTCTTTATCTGAGAAACAAGAGATGGGGTTGTCTGCTCTCAATATAGTCTAACTATGTATTCTCCAGATGATAACTGAATCAAATTGAAAGAAAACAGATTATATATTTTGCTGTAACTCGGTTAATGTTTGCTTTGTATATTATTATTAATTCTGTTACAAAATGTATTTTTCTCACCAAAAATTATAGATAAACTTTGTAATAATACAGTTTAGTTATTCAAATAGAATGAAAGCAGTAAAAGTACTATTAGATCTTTGGAATAAATGTGAAAAACAATAAATATAATTTAGGATTAGTAAATATTACATGCAAGATTAATGAGAAAATATGAGTGGAGGAAGGGGGATTGTTCGATGGGGTTCCGTTCAAGCAAAGAGAAGCTGTTAGAAGTTGTAATCTTGCAATCTTGCAGATTTGTTCTTGAAGCAACAGGTAAAGACTGCGGTAAAGTCAAAGAATTTTATATTTTAGAAGATGTAAAAAGTAGAAATTGGTAAAGGGTTTAATTCTGTCTTTAAGGCTTTCTCACAGCCCATGTTCCTGTTACTCAAGGAATGAG